AGGTTTGAAGAACACTGAAAAGATGTAATCAATGAAGACACTTTAAAATCAATGTATGAAAGGAAAGGTATGCATATCAATTCTTATGGAATGAAATCTAGATGATGGACAAGGAATAACATTGCAGAATCAAGTTGAAGTAATCTGGATTCATACCCTGTTTAGATCATTTCATCAACAGACCAAGCATAGACATTAATAGCTTGGGGGAGGGAGCCATTAATTAGAAAATAAAAATGAATTTGAGTTTCCAGAAAGTATGATCCAAGTGGGATTGCTGGTGAACAACAAGTTCAACACATAGGTGAATATAAGACAATTCAAAAAAAACATACAGACACAAACATTAGATGTGAAATGTATGAGAGAGAGGAAGTTCATCACCTCACAGAGCAAGATTTGACATTCTGGAACAGAACAGACACTTGTCAAAAGATGGAAAGTACATCGTCAAATTGTTGTGATAAAACAAAAGATGAATGAATTACTGAGATAACTTATATACAAATAATTAAAACACCTTGTTAAAAATGATTTCAACAATAATATCATGGTCTGTTCAGATGGTATTCTTTGATCTGTAACAACAAAGACAAAAGAAATCAATGCACTTGTCTTAATTGCTCATGGATTTCAAAGCATTTCTTATCTGCTTTAATATGTTAATATTTATTCAGTAATATACTTTCAACAGTAACATCATTATAATAGGTAAACTGGTATCCATATATGTATAGATTATTGTTCAGAGCTATCAACTTCTTGAAGGATTTTTGGATCAGGGACAGGGAATATTGTAACTCCCTTACACAAGTTGGCACTGTACATTAAAAACAGTCACATTCTCTGAATCAATTAAACACTCCTGAAGTCTAGTTACTGAACTGTTTTCTGCAACATTTTTCTAGATTAAGCTTTAAGTGTCTCTAAAAAAAAAACTCTTATTCTTGCTGAGTCAAAGCAAATAAACATAACTCTGAATTGCTATAGTCCATAACCATAGGTGAAAGCAGTTTTTCCTTGACTTTCAGACTTCAATGTTGAGAACCATTTGACTCCTACATGAATATCACAATGTTATTCATTCTTGGCAAAAAAAGGTTGCTGTAATTGACTGTGGCATCATTTAGTATCTAATAGTCCACACTAAAATACTATCAGTACTAAAATAAATCATCTTTCTCTCTCACAAATATAACAGCTGTTGGATTTTTAATGTTCTTTTAAACAAACTCCAGTAATTTCTCTATCACTTGACAATGACTTGTTGCAGTTGTTTAAAGAAGCTGTTATTAGTCAATAGCTACCAGTATCAATGCAATGTTCTATTAGATCAATGCACACCAGGTTCAAATGAGAACTGCTCCACTTGGGATTTCTCCAGACACAGAGAACTACAGATAAAGTTATTCTTGAGGTTTACTCATTCTTCTGTTATAGATATTGCTAGGTGGTACCTAGTATACATCTTAATACAGTCCTTCATCTCCCTGTAGGACTTGAGATAAGATTTACCAGTGATGACCTGTGCTTTATTTACCAAAGGATTAATTAGGTCTTCCATTGATTGTCAATTTCTAGGCTCCATCAAACCTAAACTGGTATATTGGCATCACAATGTATTAATGCCTGTAACATTTGAAGCGTAATTATAGTCCACTTTGTTTTAAACAACAATACCTAGTGTCCAAGCTCTCGGTATCATGTTCTCCACTTCAATCTTTATTCCTTTTGAATAGAAACCATAAATCGCAAAGATTTTTTTCCTTCTATCTCACCTTGGTTCTGGCATATGCTGGTATTATGAATTCAGTACTATGTCCAATTATAAAATATAACTATTATGATTTCTGGAAGCTGTTGATGACACACTAGATCTCATGAAAGTCCTCTCTGATCAACTATTCAACATGAAACTATCAATCTTTCTATCCATGTGATAACTTGTGCATGTATTTTCTCATTGTGCCATACTCATTGTTTGAAAATATGATACAATATTTGTAGTTAGAAGAAACAGTTGTATTCTCTAGGTATCAACCTCTTGCAGGGGGTCTCTTTTCTTCTGATCTTATTCTAGTATGTTGTGTTATAGAGTGTTGCTGAATCCTAGTTAATAGTATTTAAGGGACTTTTTTATTTATATCTTTTCTTACCTCTCTCTTATTCTTTCCAATTCTTGCTTTATCTTTTCACACTTTGTTCTTCCCATCACTTTCTATGTTTCATAACTTTCCTAAAATTTAACTTGCAATTGTTGGGTTTAATCCACCCATCTTGCTATTTTAATCATTTTTAGGGTGAATGCTATAGTTCTTGTATTTTTGCCAGAAAACATGATGACTGGTTTAAATGTTCTTCCTTTTAATCCTCATTGCAAGTTTTTAAAAGTTCCAACAAATTAACTAAGGAGAACTTTTCTTTTCTACCACTTTGTGTTTCTATTATTTATCACACTCTGGCAATGTGAGTTGGTTAAGTTATTGAAAAAAGTCATTAATTTAGATGTAGGTACAATAAAGTGCAAAATATGCAGATAAAAAATATTGAAATGTTTTCGCTTTATTTTGGAAATAGAAACAGCTTTCAGTGAGTGCAGAGCCAAAAATTGTGTGTTACTGCAACAGTTCTCTTATTACATTTGCTGTATCATCTTTTTTGATTTCATTAAAAAAGAGTAAAACCTAATACTATCTGACATTACAAGGATGAAAATAATTCAAATGCCTTTGACTATTATGGACTTTCTGACAACTCCTCAAAATATAGCAATAATTCTCAAGGAAATTTCAGGTCTTATACACTAAAATTTTACTGGTATACTTACAGTTCCTAAAACCTTGGTAGCACAATAGTATTGATCATTAAAACTAAATCCAGGTAATAATTTGACTGTTGTGAGATCACGATGAGAAAAACTTTGGATAGAAATGATTACACCTATGTTTGAAACTAAACCAACAACCTTATCATAGGAATCACACCATTTGGCCCTCAAATTTATTATCCTACATTTATATCTAATTTCATCTAGATACTTTTTTAATAATTACAAGCAATTAGCAATTATTCTCACAAAGATTTAAACTGTAACAATACAACAATTGAATAATATTGTTATTTTATTACTAATGTTACTTTTTATCACAATACTCTGGGTTTATATATTATTTGATCTCCAGAACAAACAGAGTGAAATAAAAAAAATCTTCTGACATGACTTGAATTCACATCCCATGCCTCAGGAGTTCAACTTTTGTTAAAAGCTAGTTTTTTTAATTTCTGATTTTGAGCTGTTAGTTAAAGTGATTGAAGAGTATATTAGCTCAAACTCTTGTGAAGAAAAAACAAGATCGAGTAAAACTAGTAATGAAATCATAATAGCAAAATAAGTAATTAAATATCTATATAAATATAAAATATTTTGAAGAATCAAAAAATTTACAAGGTATAATTATGATGATTATTAAAATTTTGTTTGATGAAAAAGCTACAATATTATGAACCACAGCAAAATAAATATGTTCATTTCATATTCTAAATAACAGGAAGGCAAATATGATAGGGTACTGAAAAGTTCTTGGTTCAACTCACTTCCCAAAACTGATCAAACTGTCAGTATTTATTTTGGAATCCCTTTTGGGTCAAACTGAGAACATTTCAGCATCTTCTCATAAATAAATACCCAACTATCTATATTTGTTGCTGCATATCTTGCTGATGTTTCATATTTTTATATAATAGAAATTATTTTTGTACAAAGCTACCAGGTTTACAGTCACTGTATGAGCAAAAATAATCACAATGAAATTTTATTAGTCAAAATTATTTCAACAAGAAACAGTTTTTATTCACATAAAGATACCAAATTATTATTAGATTTAAAATAAAATTTGGCAAATTTCATGAATGAAAATTATAATTTGCTAGAATTTTTATCATTTAATAGTAGAATCAATTTTTAATTTGATGCAACAGTACAATCTACTGAAATATATATTTCAAGAAAGCAACAGCAAAATATTCAACATTTATACAACATTTAAAAACTAAACTAAATAACCTTCCAGTGTTAACATTTGTTGGAAGGGAATTATAAATACTATAAAGATAATATTCAAAATAGGTATATATCAAATTTGTCTAAAGTTTGAAACTTGTATGTCACCAGTAAATTTAAAATTCCAATATTAATTTAAAAAACAATACAGTAACAATAAGTATCATAATGGCTTTTTCCATCAAACAACTTATACACATGTATAAACACACACATATATACTTTACAGACACATATATACATAAAACATATATACAATGTAATGTATACACATTCGAACAGAGTGCATATCTGTATGTAAATTTCAAGGAAGCGCATGAGTATACATACATATATACACTTTTATACATTAATACCTGCACACCTGCACATTCTCACACTTGCATTTAATTTCATTAACATTTTATATATATATATATATATATATATATATATATATATATATACACACACACACATAAATGCACACACTTGTATACATTGTATCAATATACTTTACAACTTGTGTACATTAAATACACATGACAAAGTTACTACAGTTAGAATGTATTAAAACAAAATAAAATTGTAATATTAAGGAATAGGTATATCAATGTTGAAAATGTGCAGAATGTATAAAATCTAACACTGACAGCTCAGGACCTTAGAACCCACTAGGGCAACTTAAATAATGAACACAACTAATTTCTTGACTTGGGAAGGAAAAAAGAGGAGAGATAGACGGAAATGATAGTGTTGAAAGAACATGAAATGGAAATTCATAATGAAAGAAGAAACTGAGAAACATATATTTGTATATACAGGCACACAAACCAATAGACAGACAAGTGGAAAGACAAGGGACAAACAGACTGACATACACACAGACAGCATTTAATTGTTAAAAGTCAGTGTCAGTTCGTTCGATCACATTCTACAGCAACTAATTTTGCAGACCCACTTGCTTTGAAGCTTCCTTCCCATTCTTTTGACCTGCGCTTTTGCCTCGGCCTTTCCAGACAAACTAGAAATTATAAAACAATAGTTATGATAAAACTGTGTTAACAAATATGAAGAACAATATTTTATGCAAATGTAGATAAAGAATACTTGACAAAACAATGATATTGTTATGCTAAAAATAAATAAAATGGAGTGATATATCAAAAAGGCATACAAGGTAACCCCTCTGAAATGATTGGGAAAAATGGCACCATTTAGCTAACTTCATCTGCATTTGAAATGCATGTATCCTTGATTATCCAATAATTGCAAAAAGAAAAACAAACAAAAAATTGCTAATAGCTGTTTTTTAAAGAGGGTAAAATTGTTTTAAAATATCTTATTTAAATGAAAATTGGATTTTAAGAAGAAATGACCATTTACTGTTATTTTAACAAATATAAACATTTTAGATTTTATAAGAATTCATTCCATACATGTGATTATTAGTACAAAACAGTAGTTTGCATACTTTTTTCATTCCAATAGGATTAACACCAGTTCATAGATGTAAAATATGGATCAAATTTAATTACAATTTCTTTTTCTTTTATATAAACTTCAATATCATCATATAAAAGTTATTTGTTTTATATATAAGTAATTAATATAACATCAGAATGAATGAGGGTTTATTAAACTGGTAAATTTGATTTTTAAGCCCTACACAAAAAATCTATTAAAAATTTCCCAAATCAGCATATTTCTGTGTAAATGTACATGCTGAACTCGAAAATAACAACCAAATTTTGATAAAACCTTCCGTTTTGTAGTTATCAACAATAAAAATTTGTGTTCATTCATCTGCCATTATGGGCCTTGTTTAACTACATTCACTGTGGAACATTTTGTGCACGGAAGCTTAATTAACTGCTTTTACTGCTCTTACTCGTGTAAATTACTGTGCACTGTCAGAAAGCAATGACAAGTGGTAAATAAAGCTTTCTTTTTAAATTAAAAAAAAAACAAATTAAATAATAAAATAAAGCTTTACTTTTAAATTAAAAATAAAACAAATAATAATTAATGCACAAACTTTGAAACTGTTAGGGTTAGGCTAACCCTCTTTGAAAAGAGCAAGATTACTAACCCTAAACCGTTGGGGTTAGGGGTTAGGTGTAGGGGTTAGTGATCATGCTCTTATCAAAGTTTGTGCAAAGTTTGCACATTAATTATTATTTGTTTTATTTTTAATTTAAAAGTAAAGCTTTATTTTATTATTTAATTTGTTTTTTTTTTTAATTTAAAAAGAAAGCTTTACTATAAAAAAAACTGTTGAAAAAATAACAACACTTGTTTCGATACAAGTATGTGGTAATTTAGACAAGTAAGATCAGTTGAGAGCAGTAAAAAGGCCATTAATTAAGCTTCCACGCACAAAATATTCTGACGTGAATATAGTTAAACAAGACCCATAATGGTGGATGAATGAATGCAACTGAGTCTGAATAATTATTGTCGATAACTACAAAATGGTAGGCTTTATTAAAATTTGGTCATTGTTTTCAAGTTCAGCATGTACATTTACATGGAAATATGATGATTTGGTAAATTTCGAATAGATTTTCTGTGCGGAACTTAAGAAGCAAATTTATCTTTAAACTTTATTACATTTTAATTTATAATTGAATTTGAATATCATTTACAAATAAACAATTATTTATTTTGAAATTTCGGTCTGCAAACTTATCTATTTCAAAATCAATCTTAAAAGTAAAAAATAACATTTTATCAAGAAGCACTGGTATTTTGGGTCCCTTTTCAGAAAGGAATAAACATTTAAAATGAAAATTAAACAAAAAATATTTAAATGTTTACATTCTGTCATCTACAATAATAGTAACAGAATATAAACAAACTATTCTTTTAAAACACTTTATTTTCTTTCTAAATGCTTGTGTATATGAACTGAATATACTAAAGGAATTTTTTCTGTTACCATCCACAAAGAAAGTAGAAACATGCAGGATAATGAATATTAATTAGAAGCTGATTTCTAAATAAATTTGAAATGATGGAAGTGTACAGTTTGCTGATAAAGAAGCAGATAAAATGAATATAATGGTGAAATTTTACTTTCTAAAATACACATATAAATACATATAATAAAGGATGTCAAAGAAATGGGTGTTTTGAAGTGTAAAAAAATTATAAAACCAATAGTTGAACCACTACATAGAAAATTATAAGCATATTTTATATTTAAAATACACCAAAATCCTTAAATTTTTTTAAAATAAAATATTAAATGAGTTATATAATTGTAATAGTTACTGAGGTTTAAAGAAGGATTTTTTAAAAATTCTTTAAAATAAAATGTTTCAGAATGCAAACTGACTTAAATAAATATTCAAAACAACAAATCTAATAAGATATTAATAAACAATCCAAGATTATTAAAGCTTAACTGATTTAATAAAAATTAACTCTTGTTTTGCTAGATCAATTACATCTGGGCACTGGGCAGTGAGCCTGATCCACACTGAATGATCCATACTTGCAACATGGCAACTTATTTAAGATATATTTAGTAAATTAAAATAAAAATTAAAAGTGGAATTACTCATTTTGTTTTAATATTAAAGATATTCTTTTCAGTATTTATAAAGAGTAAGAATAAGAAATAAAGAAACGAAACCTATTATGTATTTGTTCAAAAGCACAGACTATTCTAGAAATCTATTTTAAAGTGAAATCTTTGTATAGTTAAACATCTAAAATAGATGTGCTTACTATTAAAATAATTTGTAACAACAAAACTGAAATTTTGCAAAAGCAGTGATATGTAAGTTTAATTATATCAATATATACTGGATACATCTAAAAATATTATTAATTTATATTGGAAAAAAAAAAAGAAAAAAAAAGTTAAGTCTGTTTTTGCTGTTAGATGGCTTAGGAGAGTTTAGTTTTAGTTAACTACATTCAAAAAGATAACTTTTGAGTGTGCATTGTGTTAAATCGGCCTTTGTTTACAAAAAGAATTGTAAAAACTAGCATAGGCTTGTTTTTTGTTTTTTTACTCAAACACTAAAGATGGCAGATAAATTTTTGGTATGTTATGTTTTTTTTTTATTTTACAAAAGGTTAAAATGCAACTTAAATGCAAATAATGATTTGTGTTATTTATGTTTTTACTGTGAATGATCAAATGTTTCAAAAGAAATTTTAGATATTTTACTGGAAATTTAATGCTTTATAATCAAGTAGACCAACTGAAGTTGAATAGCGATTAAATCAACACATTACTTCAGAATAATCAACATTATAAACAAAAACCAACATACTCAATATATCCAAATCCAAATCATTTGCATCATCTTGGTTATGTTAGTTGCTTTGATGTATAATTTCCACAGTGGTTAAGTGAAAAAAAAAAAACCTACTGAACTTTATTTTTGCATGCAATTTGCTGTTTAAATATGATGAAAATGTTCTGCTTTTGAAAGAAATTGTGACAGATGATGAAAAATGAATACTTTTCAACAGAAAATACAAAATGTAGTAAAGATTGGTTTTCCTTCCATGCAGGTTATATTGTGTATATGGTAGAACATAATTCTCTAGTATAAGCTTTTGTATAATCATTTGTTACTCTATAGAGTAACAAATGATTGATTCAAACATGTACCACTACAAATTAGATCAATTAAAGACAACAACTGATGGAAAGCGTCTAGAGTTAGTTGAGATAAAAGGTGTAAGATTCCATTGGGATAATATTGGATTGCATGTTGTTTTCATGATAAGGAAAAAAACATTACATTTTGGCTGGGAAGTTTTCATTTATCCAGATATTACACCTTAAAATTACCATTTATTCTGGAAACTTTGTAAAATGCCCTTCAGGCAATTTTTTTCTGAGAAAGATAAAAAGTGGCTGGAATTATAAAATTGTCTGAAAGATGGCAGAAGATAATGAAATAAAATAGTAAATATGTTGTTCAATAAAATTAATGTTAAAACTTTTTTTTAAAAAATTGTCAGGTTATTCTATAAGTAATGTCCAAATTTATGAACAAAAACAAAACAAAGGATGTTGAATCAGAATTTAACATAGGAAGTTCCATCATTATCAATAACCTTCCAATAATTCACATGCTTCATAAAAAACATTTTAGAAAAATAAATAAAAAATAAAATAAAATATGGTCGTTTGTTTTTCTTTAATAAATCAAATTAATGTTTTGGCCAAACCAATGCATTAGAGAAACAATGAAGAGGAATGCAACTGGAAAATAATAAGAAATATTCTACTGCAAGTATTTTAAAAAATTGTAAAAGAAAATTTGAAAAAACAAAATATAGTCAGTAAAATTTTAAGACAATTCCTAAATATATTTTTAAAAGAGATTAAATATAAGTTTGAATTATGATCTTGCATACAAGTTACATGAAAACTGAAAAAAAATGAATGTATTTTTAACATGTGTAACAGACAAGTTATAGTATGCAAAAATTATTTTATGAAAAATTAGATTTCTATACTTATTTTAACTTGTTAAACTCAATGACCAATAAAATATCCTTCTTGGCAAAATTATACTAAATAAAAGTTGATTTGAATATTATTTATCTAATACTAAATATGTACAATACAAGCAAAGATTTAATATTTTTCATGAATACAATATGAAAATATGTACAAAATTGATATTTTATCAAATGTTGTTAATAAATACTGAATATTTCCTAAATAGAAGGGTTATAATAATTTAAATGTATAACAAATTATATTAAAATGAAATGGCATATATATTATATATCTAGTCTGACAAAAACCTAAAGCACGACATTAAATAATAAATATCACTAACTACTTTCATTAGCATCATCAAATATGTGTGTGTGTGTGTGTGTGAAGAAAGATAGAAAGTAGACTATTGAAAACTGACAACATTTAAGAAAACTCAAACGAATCGATCACTAATAAAGTTTACTTTTTATATTATTATTTAAGAAATATTAGGTTTGTGTGGTGCATAACAGAATGTTAGTGAACTTTTTGATCAAAGCAATGTAATTAATAGCATTTAATGGAGATTTTTAACGCTTTTCTTAATTATATATGTGCCTAAATGTAATAACTGATTTCATGAAAGTATATATATAAAAGTGATGGAAATTCAGATTTAATATTACCACCAATAAAATTACTACATTAGAAACAATCTGAGTTTAATGTCTGCAATTAGTTTGCAAAAGAGAGTAAGTTACAAATGAAAAGAAAGAGAT